TTTGTTATTAGATGCTTATTCTAGATCATTCTCTTGTTTGTTATGTAATTAGTTTGTTAGATTTTACTCTATAAATAGAGCTTTTGATGAATAATAAGTGTTCTTCATATCTTTTTCATCAAGTTCCTTCAATATAGTTTCTATATTGAATCTATCCTTTTATTTTCTTAATACCTCCTGTGTTGGAATCCCAAATCAAAGAAGAATATAGGTAACATATGAGGCTTCAACCTTCATGTTAATTTTGATATGAATGAGTAAATAATGATTCTATTCCCTTTAAAAGTGCACAAGAATCTTTAATTCAAATTTTAAAGCATCAATTATGGGTAACATTGCTTCCAATTAGGTACCTAAATGACCATCATTTGACTTAATCAGTGTACTAAATAATTTAATCGGTATCTAATTATCGAGTCAATTAAGTGAAATAAAATTTAATTAGTGGAAAACATACAATAAATTAAATTCTTATTAAAATTAACTTTAATAGACATGAGATCTTCTAGGGCGTCCGAGGTGCATCCCGCTATAAAAATATAATTAGTTACGACAACATTAAACTTACCGGTTAAAATCAAATATAAGGGAGAACATTACCATTATATCCTCATATCAACCTTCCAATGTGAAAATGGTCATTTTCATACTATTTGTTCTATTTATCCATTAAATGGACATGTGCTTTGTACATAATGAAATTTGGAAAGGTAACAACGTTATTTCACTTAACCCTCGTCATTTAATTTTATAAAAACAATAGGAAAAAAAATGAATAAGAGGGGAAGAAAAATTCCGAATTACTCATCTTCTTCTCCTATAACCCCAAACGGGGCCAAACCCCTTCCAACCACCACCACCAAACCTTCTTCCACGTGAATGTTTCGTTAATTTTGACAAATTATTGTTAGATTGTATATGGAAATTATAAAAACTTATCAGTTCATATATGATTGCGATTCAAAGCTGAGTTTATGTATGATTTGATAATTAGGGTAAAGTTTATGAAATATTTTGTTATGAGGGTAAAATTCATACATCCTTTGTGTAATTAACTTATCAAGTGTCTGCCATGTGCTCACTTAGTTTTTCACATGAATTATTTTGTTACTTTTTACTGACACTAGTTAATTGATATATGAATGAGATACAATTTTATGAATTCGTGTATGAGTTTAATATATAGTTGAGTCCGTGTATTTTTTTAGTACACAATAAGAGAATCTCTAATATGTTATCTATTTATAAAGATTATCTTATTTATATTAATAAAGCATATCTTTAAATTTAAAGAGTAAAAATTTTAATGCACTTCAATAATACTCCGACTTTACATTTTATATCTTTTAATAAAAATTCATAGAGTTCTCATAATTTCTTATTAAACATATTTTATTTAGGGAAATTTGCTTAAAAAGTGTAGCCAACAATAATGTTTGGTAAAATAGTTTAGGGTCAATACTTTTTGGTCAATTAGCATTTTATTTTGTGTTAAAAGTCCCAAATATCATTTGTTTAAAATGTCTAATTTGAATCTTATATTTACCAAATCGGGTTATTAGCGCAAAATGTCCTTATGTTTGGCATTCAGTGTACAAAACATCCCTACATTTCAATTTTTTTGTATTTTCACCCATATTTCAACGTTTCATTGTGAGATTCATCATTTTCATCCATTTTCTCAATTAAAAAATTGTAAAATGATAAATATACCCTTCTATTTAATAACTCGTTACTGAAACTGAATAATTGGTTGTGTAATTGATGCAATTGATATTTTACCCATGGATGCTTGTGTCTCAATTTGAATTCCCCCAAATTGTAACATACAGAACCAATCATTTCTGTGAAAATATTCCTCACTATGAGCACGGTTTGTGGTTATTTCTTATCTAAAAATTGAATCAATTGGGAGGAAAATTGGAACAATTGGATCATTACCCACTGTCGATTAGGGTTGTTGGAGGTTCGAATGAGGCCAATTTGGATCACCAGTACTTTGGGTGACGGGAATTGAAGGAGGTAGATTTGGTTCTTCGAGCATCGCGATCGCAAAAAAAAAAAAAAAAAAATTCTAAAGCACAGCATATCAACTGGAGGTTGTTTTAGTTGATGCTTGACCATAGTTTAGGTCTTCTTGATAAGGGAAACATGTTCGTGGTAGACCACGACCGTGAAAGTCATCTAAAGCGACGGTGCCGTCGGGTTTAGTGTTTGCGAGTAGGAGGTTTTGGCTGCCAATTGCATGTGGATTTGGAAGAGTAGGTTGGTGCATTGTGACAGCGAGATGGAGAGTTGAGTGGTGGTGTGGTTCTCAATGGTTAAGGTGACGGTTGGGTGGTATTTCCGACGAGCGAAAGTGGTGATGAAAGAGAAAGGGAATGATTTTTTTTTAATTATTTATTTGGGATTTATTTGTATTTTATTGAAAATTTTGGGAGTATGATTGCAATTTATTCTTTATTTTTCTTTTATTTTCTTTTTGCTTTATTTAAATATAAATGTGCATTTGTCATTTTATAATTTTTTATTGAGAAAATGAATGAAAATAGATGGAAAGGATGATTTCCGCAGAAAACGTGGAAATAAAAGTGAAAATACAGAAAAATTGAAACGTAAGGACGTTTTGCACGCTGAATGTCAAACGTAAGGACGTTTTGTGCTAATAACCCTTACCAAATTCCCCAAACAGAAATCCCCATTTCATTCTCACTTTTCATACCCAAACTAAAATCAACAACAAAATGGCAAGCTGCCTTTTTAAACAACTGAGTTCTATTTTAACTAATTACATGTTCGTATTACTTTATGTTCTCTCGCATCCACATGAAATTAAATGACATGTTGTTGTTATAAACGATTTGATAACATTTTAACTAAGTTCGTGTCAATTTTACTTTATACTCTCTTGTACCCACAGGAAGACAGGTTTTCACTATATTAGAGTTAAATTAAGACCCCGTAACCCAAAATGTTATGCTGTCATTTTAAATGATTGGGCGTCATTTCAACTAATTTCGTGTTCCTTTCACTTCACTTTCACTGGTATGCACAAGAAAATAAATGAATGTAAGTTTTTATACATTTGGACCCCATTATTGATACAAAGTTCACATGATAATGACTAAAACTATTATTTCGTAAGTAAACTACACTGGATTTAACTACGAACGAATGTAAATAACTCAAATTTCATTATATTCCAATTATGAGATAAAATACTCAACAAATTAACTAGTTTAACTTGTATAAGACTTCTAAGATGTTCAAGATTTGATTGACTCGTTTCAGAGTAAAATTAAGACTCCATGATCCAAAACATTAAGACATAATGTCGTTTTAAATGGTTATGTGTTATTTCAACTATTTTTTTGTTTCATTTCACTTTATGTTCACTCTTATCCATATAAAATAAATAAATGCAAGTTTTCATTGCATTTAAAAATACAAATGTCGATAAAAAAATTTCACCCAATAACGACCAACAATATTGTTCCATCAATAAACTACACTAGCTTTCACTCTAAATGAAGGCAAGTAGTCCAAATTCCAATTATGGATAAGATACTATCAACTTGTTTAACTTGTACAAGTTTCATAAAATATTCCAAAATATTATCGACTTATTTTGAAGTGAAATTGAGACGCTGTGACCCAAAACAACATGATGTTGTTTTAAATGACCATGTTTTTCAACTATTTTGTATTCGTTTAACTTTATGTTCACTCGTATTCATATAAAATGAACAGATACAAATTTTCATTACATTTGGACACCAATATCGATACAATGTTCACGCGATAGTGACCGACACTATTGTTCTGTGAGTAAATGACGCTAGACTTAACTACAAAATAAGGTATGCAACCCAAATCCTACTATATTTCAATTATGAGATATGACACTTAACAAATTAGCTCACTTAGCATGTATAGGTCTTTTATGATATTTCAAGATAGGGTTATTAGCACTAAATGTCCCTAGGTTTCAAGTTGCTGAACTTAGGTTGAGGAATGTATCACAAATGACCTCTATCCTAGGACTCCTACACTCTTGGTTTTGGTAGAGGCAAGTACAAACTTGGTTTTAGAATAGGTAGCAATAAGATAACTTGTTTATAGCCTAAACATCCCCTATTCCTAGTTGGTTTGATCAGTCATAAGATGTTAAACTTCTTGTACTCGCTAGAAAAAGAGCGTAGTTGTGCATTAGATTTCTCAAGATTACTCACAAGACTTTTAACCTTATTTTCTAGGGATACTTTCACAATCTTCAACTCATTTAAACTTTTAGTAGACTTCTCAAGCTTGACTTCTAGAATCTCCTTTTCTAACTAAATATCATGCAATTTCTTAAAGGTAGAGCTA